CAAACAGAAACTACAATTACAATTTCATACATTTACGTTTACTTATTAATCTGATATAGGTAGTATACATAAACGGGATGTTGGCCGTTTAATTACAGATTTTTTTAGTTTTTAATTTGACCATTCGAGTGATATTATCGAGGCCGGGATGTTTTTGTAATATTCGACCTAGCAACCAGTGAGCAGGAGGTAAATCATATTCCTTTATTAAGACGACATCCCCGATTTGGGGCTCAGGATGCTGCGAAGTCCATTTATAACGGTGTAAATAAGATGTGAGATATTCCTGGGACCACCTAAGCCAAAAATGCTGCAACATTCTTTTTACTAGATGCCACCTATTCAAGGGACTAATGTTTACATTTTCATAGTTGGCATCAGGTACACCTACTTATGGTTCCCCGACTAAAAAATGACCAGGAGTTAAAGGGACCGGATCTCCTTGATCACCAGTATTTACAATTGTTAAAGGCCTAGAATTTAAGCATGCCTTTACCTGATTGAGGAGGGTAGTCATTTCCTCGAATGTGAGGGTTGAATTTCCTACAGTTCTTTTTAAATCGTGTTTTGTAGATTGCACCCCTGACTCCCATAATCCACCAAAATTGGGAGCAGGGGTGGAATAAAATGCCATTCTGTACCAGTTATTTCTAGATTTTTAGCTACTGTTTCCTGTGTGTCACGTAATTCTTTTAGCTCTTTAGCTGCACCAATAAATGTCGAACCGTTATCACTCCACAATGCCGCGCAGTGACCACGTCTAGACACGAACCGTCTAAAAGCAGCAACAAATGCTTGGGCAGTCATGTCGCTGACCACCTATATAATACTTATATGCACGGTGTCCACGCCCTTTCGAAACTCTAGATTTATTGGACCAGCATAATCTACCACTACCACTATAGAGAAATGGTCTAGATGGAGTAGCACGCACTGGCGGTAATTGACTCATCAATTGGGTTTTCGTATTGGCCCTTTGTCTTATACATGTCACACATCTGCAAATATGTTGCCTCACTAGGCTCTTTAGACCAACTATCCAATAAGCGGATCACACATAATTTTCTATATAGGACTACCGTGTAAAGTCTTATGGTGTGTTAATAATTTCTTCATTTCCTTATATATTTCAATTCTTTCTTTTACAGTTTCACAGCCAGTCATAAGACCATCTATATAGAAATCTTTTAACATACTTCTCTCCGACATCAATCGCTAACTGTTGCAGAACCTTAACGGCTAAATATGGAGCAGACGCCGTACCAAAAGTTACCGTTACCACCTCGAAATCCTGGATTTTACTTTCCCGATTATTTCTCCAGACTATTCGCTGATATGCTGCATCTTCATCAGTAACACGGACTTGTCGGTACATTTTTATAATAGCAGCTACCATTGCTATTGGGTGACATCTCCAGCGCGACGCAAGTCGGATTGTAAAGTAGGGCCGATCATTAAAACATCATTTAGTGAAACTACATTTTTGTTTTTAGTAGATGCATCAAAGACTACCCTAAGTTTGGTGGTGGCCTTGTCCTCTCTTACAACCGCGTGATGTGGTAAGTATACTCCTTCTTCTTTACTATCTACTGGCCTCATATGATTCAAATTCTAGTATTCCTGAATTACATTTGTATATCTGTTTCTAAATTCTTCATCCTTCATTTTCCTCTCTAAGGCTAACAATCTTTTCACAGCTATCTCTAGTGAACCATCTTGTTTACAGGATGGACCTTCATCAAGAAACGGTAATTTCACCACATATCGACTTTCTGCTGTTCTAGTAGTCGTCTCTGCGAAAATCTCACATTTCAGCTCTTCCTCGGTAAGTATCCTTTAAATATACCTGATTGATCTGATTCTATTTTCCAGAATTTTTTAAGAATTTCATCTTCTTTGATCTCAGAGTGCAGTACTGTAACTGCTGGTGAGTTGTCGCAATCTTCAGATATTACAAGACTAGAAATGATACACCCTAAGTTAGTGCATTGTGCAATAGGAGTTCCAGTAGGACTTCTCATTACTCTTTCCTTCAAAATCTGGCAGTAAATGTCTGCACCAAGCAGAATGTCAATTTTATTCGGTAAATAATATTTTGGGTCTGCCAACTGAACATTTTGTATTTCAGCACAAGGTAAACAGGAAACCTTTTTACCAGGTAGGTAAGTAGTAATATTATTTAAAACATAAGCTTTCACTTCAAGGTGAAAACTGGGATCAGACAGTGATTGAATTTTAATAGAAACCATGTACTTCGACACCACCGAAGACTGATTACCGCCTAGTCCTGTAATAACTCCCTTCACCGGTATCTTTTTTAACTTTAATAATTGAACTGTGTTTTCAGTAACGAACGATGCTTGTGAGCCCTGATCGAGCAAGGCTCTAATAATTTTAAAATCGCCAAATTTTGACTTAGCTTTCATTAGAGCTGTTGCTAGCAAAACCTGTTTCCTGTCGAAAGGCAGGATACGATTGGCGTTGTTTCAGTTGAACTACTAGCCGTTACACTTTTTTCATTTTTAGTAACGGCCTTGTCTGTTTGCCCACGATGTACGACTGGTGTAAATTTAGGGTGAAGAAGTGAGTGATGCCGCTTTTTACAAATACGACAAGAAACATCTATTCTACAATATTTTGCAGAGTGATTACGTCCTAAACAATTTAGACATAAATTATTATTTAAAATAAATTCATGTCTTTTATTGGATTCCTCCTTTGCGAACTTCTTGCTAAAACATAGTTTATGGTTTTCTGTACAATATTCACATTGAATATTTTTTGATGACAGAATGTTTTCATGACGAGTGTGTGAGTGTAAATGTTGAGCGTGTGATGGTCGATTGTGTTGAAATGTAGGTTTTTTATTGTCTAAACATTCCAAAGCCCTAAATCGAACCTCTATAAAATTCGAAAATTGTTCATAGGTAGGTAATTCTGTGCAACTGTCATTCGATATATTTAACTCCCACTGCTTACAGTTTTCAAGATCTAATTTATCTGTAAGTATGTATATAATAATAATATCCCAGGTGGCCACATTAATGTTGAGATTTCTCAACGCATTTAAGCAATCAGACGTTGTGTCCAATATGTCCTTTAACCCATTGGCAGATTCTACAATCGTACGCCTTTGGTTAAATAAACGTTTTAAAGTACAATTTGTTAGGTATTTTTTGTTATCATACCTTTTTTGCAATAATGCCCAACACTGACTGTAGTTTAATTCAGTAATAGGTATATGCCTGACTAATTACTCGGCTTCACCTGTTAAAAAACCCTTTAAATACTTAAGTTTATGTACATTATCAAAGGATGTATTATTATGCACTAAAGATGTGAATAAATCCCTAAAGGTAGGCCACTCAGTCAGTGGCGAAGCTTCCATTAAAGCCGAGAAGCCGGGCTTGCCTTATTAAAAATGAATCAATCAATAATATCAACTAATAAAATAACTCCTAAACTGTTTCAAATTATTTCAATTTTTCCGCGCACTCCACTGTTCGACACATGTCGACCGATGACCTCGTATTGCCTTAGCGATACGTTTATACAAAGGTACTCTGTGGCGATACTGCTGCAGTCATAAAGTGAGTTTTAATAGAGCGATTAGTTGTCTCCCTCACTCGCGTGGGCTTTTTACGGGGCTTTCGAGAAGACGATCACTCTCTATCTAACCTATGGCAAAATATTCTATAATGAAATATAACTACGGAATGTTTATATAGCAATTACTATTCAGCCTACAAGCCTGGCTTTGCCATGAAGTTGTTTAGGAGTGCGTTAGCGACTAGCGCAGTGGTTGCGGGCCCCTCGTATGCAAGTTCACTTCACATTTCAATGTTTATGTTTGTTTTGGTTGTGTTTGTTAAAAATTTATGCTTTTTCGAAGATTTTCAGTGAAAATGGGAAGGATAATAGTGTTCATTGTGATGAATATAAGTGTGTTGAAGTGCGAATCGGCGAAGAAAAGGTAAAAATCTTTAAAAATGAAATTTAATATTCAATAAACATTTCTTCATACTTTAAATATAGGTACAGGACTCTTTAGTATTAAAGTTTAATTAAGTTAGGCGTATTTAAAGGTTTAATAACTCAATATTAATATTACCATACGAAATAAAAATATCAATTTGAACAGCAGCATAAAGTGTGAGACCTAGGTTTAATTTTAGAGGAAATAAGTGTTACAATCTTTTTTTAACGTGAAGCCCAAATTTTAATTAAATAAGTCAAAAGAACACAAGAAGATGTATTGAGGTTTTTAAAGAATAATACTCCCTTTAGTTATTTCCAGTTAGGTTTCTCTGTCTACTTTTCAGTATATAAAATTTTAATGGCGCCATCTACTTAATTCTATACGTATAGTCATTTTATCGAACGAAAATTGGTTGATTCTCACGATGGTACCTTTGGTACCATCTGATGGTACCGATGGTACCGATGGTACCGATGGTAGATCCTCACGATGGTAAGATTACGCTAGATGGCACAAATACGCTATCGGCCAATTTATAGTGACATATGAGTTTAAAAATATAATTTTGTACGGTTTATTATGAATTGAAAATGAATAATTATAATTATAATAAATAGTCATTATTTTATGATAAAAAATTAGCAAAGCTTTATCTTCTCATTTTAACTATCTAATTCCTGTCGTAATCTGTTCTTTTATGCATATAACTTAAACAAAATATAATTTCGAGGTTTCACATCTGCCAGGCGTCCTTTTTTAACTTTGTACATAGTTTGTTTGTACTTTGTTCATGTATTATATTGTTTGTAAATATCTCAAGCAAATCCAAACGGCTCTTTTCAAAACTACCGAAGGTGTGCAATTGCATATTATGTCATACAATCTATCTAGCGGTAGTATGCTTTCTGTGTGCTTTGTTAAACACGTCCTTGTCAGCACTGAATATGAAACTAAAGAGTGGAGACAGCTCAAGATTGGTGTGTTTTTATTAAACTGCTAAAAACAACAAAACCATATCTTACTATTTTACCGAAAACGGAAAAATAGTAATTTTTGGTAACTGAACCAACAAGCCTTTTAACTCAGCTTCATTATTTTTAGAACTATTTTGATCATTTTTCTCAACATTATATTTAGCTAAATCAGTTGTTAATTTACATTTATATTCTACATAACACTCTTTAACGTTATCATATAAATTGTCATATTCAATATCCTTTAAATCATCCTTTTTTGTACCTTTTATATCATGAGTTGTTAAAAACTTCGACCATAATGCTTCTAATATTCCTAATCTAGCTTCAATATACTGTTGATTAATACGATCTTTAGGTGATTTACTATAATTCATTTTAGCATTTCTTATTCTAACTTCAACATCTTGTTGTACTTTAAATAAAGCCTGCATTTTTCAATTGTTATAAAGTTTTGAAAATAAAATATATATTTTAATGTTGAAAAACTACATGAAATCAAGTTATATTTGAGGCAAAATAAACTCTTAAAAATTACAAGTCAATATAATAAACTTTGAAAAATTTAAGAAAGTGTCGTTATAAGATCACAAAAATTTTCTAAGTCCTATGAATAAATTTATAAAATTTTACAAGTGTTTTTGACTTGAAATGAAATCGGGCATAGATTCCTCGTATGAACCAAATTTCTTAAAATTAATCCAAGTCTAAACTACTAAATAAACTATTTTTCTATTGCACATAAGGTTTAACTTACCGAAATTGTACTCACGATTGGTTGTCCCACTCACTTGCTTCCGCAGTAAACATTTAATCACTTCACTCACTGCAACTTCAGCTTTCCGCCTCCCCGCGCACCTCTCCTGACGATTTCCACTGGAACCCCGACTTCTATGAGCCAGTACCGCGACACCTTATAAGTAACACTCCGCTACTTCTGGATGAGGGGGTGTGATTCCAATCTGGAACCACAGATTACAAAAATCTGTCCTTGACGGTTCCTTCCGGCTTGCGATGGACCATGAATACTAGACATGTGTCAATCATGCATGATTCATTCGTTTGAGCTGGAGTGAATGAACCATCAACACTTGGAAGTATTGATGGTTCATTCATTTGTTTTTGAATGTACCAGTACAACCAATCACAAACAATTGACGGTACCTTTTAACCCGTGATTTGTTTGAATTGTGAATGAGCCGCAAACCGACCGAATCCCGAATGATCTGAATAAACAGGCGAATTGAATTGACAATGCAGACTGCAGAGCATAGAGTAATATATACACAGAACACCATTACTCCTAGCGGAGAATATATTATACGGAAACTGCACAGTATCAGCAGTATTTATTATTTAAGGGTTTTTAATTATAATATTGTTACCTAAATTAAAAATCATTTTACATTTTATTATATTTATTTGTTAAATCTATGAGTTAAAAATATCATTTCGTAGAGTTTACTAAAAATAACACTTCAAAAGATTTCATGATAAATGATTTATTTAATGATAATTTTCAACTATCTTATATAAATATAAGTTAGGTACAAGTTTAATTTCGTGGCAAATAAATGTTATAATCCCTATTTTTTGACATGTAAAGTAAGATGAGATTGTGTGTTGTTAGGAATGAAATTTAAGAATAAACAAATTTATTAAATATTTAAAATATATGATAACTTGAGATTTTTGTGATTATGCCATCCAGCGTCGATAGTTCTTATCATCTTGAAAATTAATAAGTTTTAGTTCGATAAAATGACTTTATTACCTAAAGCATGTAGTAGATGGCGCTATTACAAATCTCAAATATAAAATTTTCGGTTCGCAATGGATGTCACAGACTCACAGAGTACTGAAGCCTGAAATGAACCATTTGAATGATCGATCCGAATGCACCAGTACGCGTGCCCAAATGTACTAGAATGATTCGGTCGCTAAAAATGAGTGATTTACACATGTCTAATTGAATACGGTCGTACGTAGCGGGCTAAATATCTATTGGTACTTTTAAATAAAACCAACAGATATCTTGATTAGGTATATATATTACTTTTTTCCAATATCGTTCACTTTTTTATAAAGCACACAAAACACCTGATGCAATTAATATACATTGAACCATTTCTCGAGGTAATCTACTACTAGCGACATCTATTGTTCACAAATAAAATTAAAACACTTTATATTGATCCGATTACATACGAATCGTGAACAATAGGGTCACCACCGTTTAGCGATAGAAATAGGTAAGCGAGACATACAGGACAGATTTAGAGAGAAAGCATGTGCTATTTGTGGGGGTTGGCCTGATCCGTTTCGTTTTCACAGATAAGCAACAAATTTTCATTGTCTTGTTTACATCATCCGTGTAGTCGCTGGAAAGAATATCCACTAACACATATCTTCCCGTGGTTGTCGTAAGATTCAACAATGAGAAACTGAGGCAAAAGATGGGCAGCAGCATCTTTCTGATAACAGCAAAATAACCCTCGGCACGCGTGGCAAATATGGCAATATACCCACTATGATGCGAGTTACGAAGAGACAGCCCTCAGTCTCCGGCGGCCCCGTTATTCCTGGCTACGGTGGTGACCATGGTAACGGAGGGGCAGGGAGTGCTAAGAATCTTCGTGGATGTTCGGTTGCCACCTAAGATGACTCGACCTGGCAACATATAACGCACACACCCTGAAGACTGAAAAGAAGATCCTGAAGCTGGAAGAAGAGATAAAGAAGTTGCGCTGGAATATTATAGGATTATCAGAGGTACGAAGAGAGGGGAAGGTCACGGTAATCCTCGAATCTGACAACTTGTTATATCACTGAAAGGGCTACCATCTGTCCCAAAGAAGTGTCAGTTATATCGTCGTTAACAACGTTGTGAAGATTGGGAGTGTGTGGACGAGGGTTGCGTATATTATACAAGAATCACCAAATGGTATTCGCTAAAGGTCATAAAGGTTTACGCGCCAACCGCGGCACAAACCGATGAGTAGGTGAAGTTAATATTTGAGGTTATCTCCAGGGACATCTATTTTTCCAAAACCCAGTCAGTTTCCCATTAAGTTTCAATCAACACTATACAGTGTTAATGGGAAACTCAAAAGCATAACTAACCACAAGAGAAACTGGTGAGCTAAATATAAGGATATTTGGAATAGAGTGACGGGCCAGCAGCTGACGGACTTCGTGAAGAAAGAAGGAGTCTTTATGATGAACTCTTTCTTCAAGAACTGGCCTCACAGAAATGGACCTGGTTGAGCCCCGATGGTTAAACAAAAACTAAAATTGACTTCATTATAACGACCAAACGCCATATGTTCCTGTGATGTCTTATTTATTTCTTCTTTTTTGTACACCACAATACAGAAACATCAAATTATAAAATACAGTTATAACTAAATTAAAGTATGTACAATAGGTTATCACTCTGAAAGTGATTTCTTCCAGACAACCTTTGCGTAGAGGAATGATGCAAACAAAAGTTAAAATAGAGGGTATACAAAATAATAATAAAAAATATAATAGTACATACAAATAAAGATAAGTGAAAATTATATATAAAATATCATATAATAGATTAAATGAAAAGAGTACGAGAAAGGTAAAGTAATTTATCTAATAGCGTTCTAAATAATACGATTTAACAAGACTTTTGAAAAAGTGAAGAGATTTAGCACGACAAATATGGAGAGGTAAGGAGTTCCATAATTGCACAGCAGTTACGGTGAAGGATTTCTTGAAAAAGGAAGAAGAGTGCAGAGGTGTAGAGAGGGAAAGATTGACGGAGGATCGAAGGAAGCGATTATGGGTAAGAGAAAGATACTGGAAACGGTATTTTAAATAAAGAGGAGTGGAAGGATTAAACAGCACGCTATACAACGCGGAGAGAATGTGAGTATTCCTGCGAAGGCGGATCAGGAGCCATTTGAGCTCTTTGCGAAATTTGGAGATATGATCATATTTGCGAAGCCCAAATATAAATCTAATACATAAATTTTGAATGCGCTCAAGCTTATTACGCTGCTCCTCGGTAATGTCAAAATAGAAAATATCAGCATAATGAAGGATAGGTAGAAGTAGAGACTGGGCGAGCGTATCCGCGGGAAGACAATTACGTAATATACTTAAGTAGAGCTTCAACGCAGCAAAAATTGTTCTACTGACCTCATTAACTGTGAGTTCCAAGACATACAGGAGTCAAGATACAACCCCATGACCGTATATGTCTTAGTGCGTAGTCTTAGCAGCGATCACCGAATAGCGAGAGGTACACTGATCCTGAACGTAAAGTTGAAGAGGTACCGTCTAATTAAGTTAATGCTACGTCCCCCTTGTGCTCTAATCCAGAGTCCCGAAAACTTTAATTTTGAGTTACAAAATCGTTTTCAGTGCCTAGAAGAGTGCAATGAAGAGGAAAATATAAATGACAAGCTCCTGTAAACAGTCGGAGCTAAGTTCTGCAAGTCCCGCTTCAAAAGAACACAAACATTCTCCGATCACACTCTTAATTACATGGCTGTAAGACGAGAAATTAAGCTGAAGCCTTTAAAAGATTTTACAGCATACAGGCAACTGAATAGACAGATCTTCAAATACATGCGGCGAGACTTACGCAATTTCAAAACAATTCGTACTAAAGAAGCGATTGAGCTGAACCAGCGCTCCAAGATCTTTGCTAGAGATCTGTCTGCCAGAAAGAGTTAACTGTTTAAGCTGAAGAATGAATGTGGTAGCATTGTTTTCGGGACACACGAGATTTTGAGTGAGATTGAGAAGTTCTAGCAGTACCTACACATCATCGTTGGCGATCCGAGAGCAAGTCTTGTATGACACTATTCCGATGATATTCCGGACGTCAGTCTGAGAGAGATTAGAATAGCTCTTCAGCACCTTAAAAACGGCACGACCCCAGGCGAGGATGGAATTGAAGTGAAGCCTCTTAAAACAGGTGGAAATCCGATACTTTTGATAATTGAGTCTTTCAGAAGTTCTTTCATTCCTGCCTCCATGGTGGCACTACTCCGGTGGCGTGGAGCAGAAGTACGGTGGTCTTGATCTCCAAGAAGGGCGACAACACTTTCTTAAGGAACTACGGACCGATTTCCTTTCTGAGCCACAGACGTGCTGTTTTCGGGAGTCAGCCGGTTTCCGAAAAGGCTTCAGCATCATAAACCGCATACATAATCTTTGGCAAATTGTACAGAAGACCGAGGAGTACAATCTGTTACTACGTCTTGCATATGTGGATTGTGAGATAGCCTTTGATTTTATCGAAATTTGGGCAGTGCTGCAGTCCATTCAGTTGTGCCAAGTTAACCGACGGTATTTCGACGTATTTGTACAGTAAAACTACGATTATTCAAGTACAAAACCAGAGTACGAAACCTATCCCGATACAGAGATTCTTCAAGCTACTGAGCTGGAA